CACCACCACCACCACCACCTCAACCACCATCAAGGTGCCACCACCACCACCACCATGACCACTCATCACTAGTTTCAGTCTTCCCGGACACTGACTTGGGGTCTCGAAGCTCACAGTTCCTCTTGCAGGCGCGGTTCCACTCTCCATCTCCTGGCTCGGGCCCGCTGTCGCTGTCGCTTGGCTTGGAAGGCTCTTGTCCAGCAAAGCTTTCACCTGCTCCTGAACTCCGACAGCGGAAGGGCTAAGCCTGACACTCGAGGCACGCGCTGCGCCTGTTGGCTGCTGAAGTTCCAGCACACCTTGATGAAAAAGGCAAATGCTGCAGGCACAATAGCTGGAAAGAAGCAAGACTCATGCTACAGCGATGGCAAGGCAACGAAGCACCGGCACGTCTACAAAGCGGCCAATTTGTGATTTATGAGGTCTTGCGTCTGGCGCCACTGGAACTTAGCCTCATCCTAAACGCCCTGAACGAGACGGAGAGACGATGGCACATCACAGAGGGATCAAGCGCAGGCCCCGCTCCCCTGGAATCTTTGTACAAGGCCATCGCCTCAGCTCAGAAAGTTCACCAGCTCAGAGATGGACAACGCCGCCATGTCTTGTCCAGACTTGCCGTCAAACCCCGATTCGCAACCCACAGAGCCCATAGTTCCGTCAACCGCATCAAGATGGTCGCTTCCGTCCTCACGCAAGGCAAGGATACGGTCGTTCTCCTTCTTGAGACCCGAGTTGTCCTCCCAATACCGCTTCTCTGCAAAGCTCTGAAGCTCCTGCAAGCTCTGAAAGCCTCCGGACTGCAACGCTCGCTGCAGCTCCTCGCTCCAGATCCCCACGAAACTCCCCAGGGCGGGCTCAAAGCATCCTGCGGTAAATACGCAGAAGACGGGCCAGAAGCGGGTTCCGAAGTAGCGGCGGTAGCTCGGACGGCGCATGAACTCCACAGCACCCCCCGACAAGCAGAACTGGTGGAAGACCACAAGCCGTCTTTGCGGCGACTGCTCCAGAACGGCATGATAAGCTTGGAACAGCATCTGAGAATACAAGCGCCAGCGGTGCTTCGGAGCTCCCCAGTCCCAGTCTGGATGAGGATCCACATCCCGGAAGCCCTCATGAGAAACCACGTCGTATAGCGAGGCCTCGCTATCAGGAACTGGGTACGGTAGGTGCATGTACCATTCGTGGTGCTTTGTATCCGGTCCCGCGGGGTGAGCGTGACCGTGGCTGATCAGAATCAGCAGCAGAGACTTCACTCCGCGCTTGGGCACAACAGGCACTGAGGCATCCCCAACATCGCCCCTCAAAACACGCAAGACGGTTGCCGGGTTGACGTCTGGGCCATCGTAGTCAGCACCACCATTGGACAAGAGTTGCCGGCAAGACTCTGTGGTTTCGATAAGCTGCTGTTGCAGCATGGGCAAAAGCGATGAACGTCCCGCAAGTTTTTCTGCTGTTTCTGTGTTGCGGCTGGCTTCTGCCAGCCACCGCAGCGTTTCTTGCAGCTGGGCAATTACCACTACACGATCTTTGCCAAAAAAAGGCAGCAATCTGGAATACACTTGCCCTACCCATTGAAGCGAGCAGTGTCCAGCAAGGTACGGACCAGGCCGCGTGCCTTCATAGTCAGGTCGCATCCTGCCTCCGTGCTCGCCGCCCACCAACATCAGCCAGGCATCGCCATCGGATGCTGCATGCAGTTGGGCAAGCTCCTCCAACTCATCCAGAGACAAAGGGGCAGCACTCGGAGAACTCGGGGAGATTGAGACCGGCAATGCTGGCTGCGACGGCGGGCTGGAGCTCTGCAGAGCACGCACTTCCAAGGTGTGTGTTCTGCAACACCGGGGCCAAGAGAGAGCCATCGCCGCATTGCCTGAATCTAGGCCGGCTAGGTGAGTTTTGCGGCTCTCCCAGCACTCCGAACGGAAGGCGGAATTGCTTGCCGCTCACTCCACCCTCTTCACACACATGTGCTTGGATGAACTCCGGCGGCGATAGAGAAGATCTGTGCCCCCAAGCTAATCAAGTGTCTCTCTGGCTATGGCGGCTATACCATGGACAAAACCCTCGTTTTGTAAGCCAAGTTCTAGCTGCGATGGGTGAAAGCATCTGCTGTTGCCAAGCACTTCCGAGCTGAACAAGAGTTGCAAGTTTGTTCCCCGTATATAGACAAGGCTCTGAAACTCCCACGACTGGCTGTCCTTTGCCGTTGCACCACTTTCTTCCCACGCCCACAAGTGGAGTGCCTGGATGCCGGCTAGCGGCCGGCCAGAGAACTGACCAAGTCAGATAGTTCAGCTTCAACTTGCGCCTGAAGGCCAGCTGCCAGCCCGGCTGACAGAGATGTCGCAACCCCTGAATTCACCCTGCCTCTGATGCACGGATCTCCGGCAAGCCTTTCATCAGCACTGCGAAAGCCTGCTGTGCAAAGAACATGGGCCACAAAGAGGAAGAGTACACTGAAAGACCTGCAATGCTGTCATGCCCTCACTCTGCAGGCCAACCTTCATTGTGTCCTTCACCTTAGCAAGAGTGCCCGATGAACCGACAAGTCTTGGATCATCTGACATGCATGTCGACGCAAAAATCGGGCCAGACACATCGCTCTGCTGGAACAAGCGCCGCTGGCGAACTCCATGCAACAAGCAAGCAAAGAAGGTCACCTCTGACCGCAACATGTACATGCATATTTCTGTGCAGGAAGTGCACCCGACTGCAAATCCAAGCGGCGATGTAAACACCAAGCAAGAAGCTCAGTTTGGCCCACATGAGCCTGCCCAGCCAGGTTGCTGGTTGGGAGCTTTTTCTTCAAACGAGAAAGGGCACATGAAGCAGCACATGCTTGCCGGCTCCAGCTACAGCTGCGGGACCTCTGCTGCGTCGCAAAGCCCCAGGCAACCAAGACACAGTTCCTGCACCCGCGTCTTGCCCTCAGAGGAGAAAGAAAAAACGCGCAGCCGCTCTCCTGTACGGGGTGCCGTACTCCTTCCGCCCCAATATCAACAAGTCTACGTCTACCTCGGGCAAAGTGCTGGCCCGTTCAGGTCCGCTCTCCAGTGAAGCATAGCACGAAAGGGAAAAGAAGCAGTTTGCAGCTGGCACGCACAACTTCAAAAATATCTGAGCTGCGACGTATGCCATGATCAGCCATCCAAACCCAATAGCTGCAGACCAAACGATCACCTGACTGAGGTGCCAAAGCAACAGCTGCTGTTCTACCGAGTCTGACAACAACTAACTAGCTGTGCTTGGAAGCACGCGCGCTGTTGCAGTTCGGAGCGAATCCCAAGAGAATGGGGCACCAAGCCAGCGCGACCAAGGAGCTGCTGCCAGGAAGTTGAAGTAGAGCAACAGGCCAGGACCCCCAACAGGTGTCACACAAAGGTTCGTGGTCAAGGGCCACAAGTCTCGTTGAGGGCCAGAGCGGTACTTCTGCATTGATCTGCTCTGAAGGCCGCATGCCAGACCCGAAGGGTTCACGCTGGCACGCAGGTTAAGATCCACCACATAAGCGACCAAAACACAGGCTAGGGCAGCAACTAGACACAAGCCAGTCCAGGCGGCCCACATGTAGCGAGCTCTGCACTGCCCGTCGGGGCTGAGGTCATACCAAGCTCCGCAGGTGATGCATCTGTCTGTGCCATCCAAGCTGGGCTGAAAGCAACCTTGCGGGCCGCACAGCAACTCTCAAGCACGGTGATTAGCCACGAACTGAGCTCGGGGCCGTCCACTTGTGCACCGCGGCAAATGCCGCGGCTGGCATCTTCCACCGGTGCGTCCGGATTGAAAGCAGCACAGCTTGAGGGGCGCACGCATGCAGCACTGCAGAAGCCCAGATCTGGTGCTAAAGAACTGTAAGGACACTCGGCGGGACATCGGGCATTCATATCAAAAGACTGGTTCAGCTCCATCACCCGGAGGCAGGGCAACGTTGACACCCGACCACGATCGTCCAAGGCCAGCGGTGGTTGGATCGCCTCAAGCCCGGAGCCCGGAAAACCTCAAGGGTTGCGGCGGCTTCTAAGAGCTGTGGGAGTTGAACGGTGCTGGCCTGCGGGGCTTCTGGCATCGAGCCCGGTGTGTGGTACGTCAGTGAAGTTTCTCACGGCCACCTCGAATACTGCGCGCATTGCGATGATACCTTTCCTGGCTGCCAAGAACAAGTCCCCGTGAGGCTGCAGCTTGCACCAGCAGCGGGCCTCGACAGGGACACATGAACATCATGAACGCTCTGGCCACGAGTAGGTGTTGGCACAGCTGCGGACCCGTCTGTCGGAGGCAGGACGCCACTGCCGACGCCGCCTGAAATCCAGGACACACGCCTGCCCCCGCCTAGCACACCGTCAAAGCGGTGCCAGCCACCGTCAGTGACGATAGCAGCCAGATCTTCATCAAGTCCGATCTCACTGCATGCCTCAAGCCGCGACAACTTCACAGCAGCACTTCGCGCGGCTGTCTTCCCTCACACGAATCGCACCTGCAACGCTCAAGGTCTCGAGTAGGTTCAGTGGTTGCTTCCACGGGACATCTTGCCTTGCATGTGCAGCTGGCACAAACTTGATCGTGGAACTCATTCCAATGTCATGTTGACTTCTGAAACCAGCCGTGGTGCAAGAATGCACCGCGGACTCCAGGGCTGGGTTTGAATTTGGATCTGTACAATTCTGTGAGCCCTGGAAGGTCCAGGCACGTGTCAGCTCAGGCTTCCCTACTAGTAGCATTGATTCCTCCAATGAACCGCATGGTGGTAAAGTGCATCTGCTCTTTTGTCTTCTCCGCTCGAATCCCCTGCTGCCTCAGCGTGAGACTTTAGAAGATAGTCATAGTCCTTGGCAGCCCCACGAACCAAGACGGACATGCCCACTAGAGCAGCCAACAGGGGCCATCCAGGTGCAACAAAGCGACAATCCAGACCTCAACTGAGCGTCCATGTGGGGGCGCCCCCCGGGTTCATGCAGAATGCTGGGCCCCACGCATCTCTCTTAATCAGCGTCGCGATGACGCAGCGCTGCCCATGTTCTTGATCAATAACCCATCCAGACTCGTCTGCCTTGCTCGATGTCGCACACATGGGGTCCGTTGCTTGCCTCCTCTTTTGACTTTTTGCTTCCAAACGGATTGTCTGGCGTCAGTCCGGATACCGAAGACTACGGGCCTTGATGCCCTTCCACAAAGGACCGTCCAGCACGGGCGTCTCACCTCTGATGCCGATTGTCAAGGATGTCTGCCTGGCGCAAGCTTGCGTGCACTTTCTCCATGTGTGGCTTCATGTTCACCCGGCTGCCTTGGGGAACAAGCTGGTTTGGTTTGCTGGTCCACGCATCACATCTAGAGTCTAGATTCCAGAGTGTGATAAACTTGTTTATCGTTTGCATCGGGGTCTTGCTTGACTAGCTAGCTCTCAAGCTAGGACCACCAGCAGGGAACAGTAGTCCGGTGCCACATGGCCGCGCGGCCTTCCCGGCCTCCCCACATGCCTGCGCCCCCGCGCACCGCCCATGCCAGCCCCGGCCTTCCTGGGCCCTCTGGCCAAAAAATCGCCGGCCTTTGCTTGTTGCCTCGCTCCGCAAAACCTTGAGCCTTGCAATCGAACACGCCCCCACCCATACATCTCGTCCTGTGCATGAGAGGCGAGAGAGAGAGAGAGAGAGCGCACCCCGTACACAAGCCTGATATTCACGACAACGTCGTCGACTGCGGCATCAGCAGGAATCGGCACGAAGACCTCGCGCACATCCGAGTGGCAAAAATCGTGACTCTCAAGGCTGTCAGTGGCTGTCAGCTCAGTGCCGCCGAGTATCCATGATTTCCGCTTCACTCTCATCTCCAGCACCACCGCACCACCACCAACGAGCACAGCTGCCTGTTCCCAGAGCCCTGTGGAGGGACCGAAGAGGCCGTCTCTGCCCAAGCCTCGGAGACTCTCCCACTCTGCACGATGCCTCTCACTGACCTCGTAGTGAGGCATCCGCTGTCCTGCAAACGCGCTTCGGGCATACCGGCCACGAAGACGGTTCGCTATGAATTCCTGCGACCCACGGCTACAAACGACTCAAGACTGGAAACTCTCACGGTTATGTTGCCTCTCTGAGCGCTACCACGAGGGGCAGCAGGAGCATCAGCCCGAAGAAACCTTACGTGAAAAGCCGCCTTCGACCGCCAGGGCATGGCCGACATCTTACAGGAATTACACACAACAAATTAAACTTGCCATGCATTTGTGATGCTTGACTACCCAGGTAAGCAGCAAAGTCTTCAACACTTATGAAATGCTGCGAGCTGCTCGCGTGTACCGGCCGCACAGCCCCGGACGTGCGCATCGGCATGAGTAGCGCGGCTCGGGAAGGGAGTTCAAGTTGTGCGACCTTATGCGACATTCACATCTTGCTCATATTCGGAATCTTGATGTTCAAAGATCCCATGCTCTGGGCCACGGATTCGGCGGAGGAGGTGACAAGAAACCAAACGCTGCAGAAACAAAATCAGCAAGCCGTCCCCCCCCCCCCCAGAAGCCCGCTGGTTTCCTGCCACTCCATGCGACTTGGACACGCGTCTTGTGCAGCTAAAGATAGCTAAAGCATGTCGCAATTCATGGCCATCGGGCGACTCTCGTGACACCGGCCTGGTCTGGTCGCCCACTTCTTGCGCGCGACAGGGTATTGAAGGAGCACCGACTCAAACCTGTTGGCAGATCTGCTCCGAGTGTAGGAAGCATTCCTTGTCCAGACCGTCCAGGTCGTTCTGGGCTTCACTGGTTCGCCAGCACAAAAGATGCCGAGCTCTGCCCAAGTCCAATGCTGGCCGCCTAAGGCCTCCAGGGCCATGGCGGCCAGGATCGGGCCTCTCTTGTCCAAGTGCAGTCACAAGTACAGTTGCCTGCTCCGCGAAACCTCCGCTGCCTCGCAGGCACTGATGGCGACCTGAATCTGCGTGCATCTGTCATGTTACTTTTTGCAGTGCTGCATATCTGGAGGTAATGGCTAGTAACGTAACGTAAGACTCAAGACCTCCCTGGCCCTTCCAAGCCACTTGACAACATATGACGTCTGCTTGCCTGGGATGGGTGGCCGACGTCTGGCATGCACAACAAATAGCATACCGGGCACTGTCTTCAAGAAGGATCACCCTCTTGCATTCAGGGTACACACCGCGACAGGGCATCTCCTTCGGTAGACTTCAGGCAGCGAGTGTCAACATGTCAAAAGCCAGTTCCGTGCCTAGTCACCCGCAGGATCAAGGTCGGCAGCTGCCATCTACCTGCCTTTTCCATGGCACTCATGGCTGCACTGTGGCCTTAAAGAAGCACTGAGCAAAGGCCGTCACGGAAGCCACACCTGCAGCGGCTGCGGCCGAAGAGCTTAGAAGGTCCGGCTCGAAGGCTTGATGCCGAAGACCACAAAAGCTCAGAAGAGCCAACTGCCACTGCCCTGCTCCTTCCTCAACATGACGCGACGCCGCGACGCTACACAACGATCCGACGTGCCGACGGTGAGGATTCAAGAACTTGCTGCCCGAGCGACACAAGCACTGGTCGCTGCATTGGCGCATATCACATTGCCGCGCACACGACACTGGGCGCTGCCGGACAGGAGGTGGAGGGCCGTCTGCCAAGTTGAGACCTTCGAAACTTTTCGGGGACAACAATTCCGAACGCTTCACTGCCCAAGCCTTCTCGCAGGCGCTGATCGCACCGCTGAAGCTGAAAACGTCTGGGGACAGCCAGACCTCCAAGAGAGAGCTTTGGCAGATGGCGCCCCCCCTTCACACGACTCGTAAAGGTCCCACAGCACTTCAGAGCTTTGGCAGATAGAATCAGGGTCGAAGGCGCTCGAGCGATCGCACATTGTCTATCCAATACCCGCAGATCCCAGCCCTCCACTGTTGGTGTGCACCATATCATCGCGGCATCATCTATCGGAATCACCCGATCGGCACGTACACGACACGAAATCGCACACATCATCACGATGTGCAACCGGGGCATTTGGTCCGAAACAAGGACTTTGAGAGCCTGTGAACTCGAGAGCAACAGCAAGGAGTGTTCCCAAAAGCTGCTCCTTAGCTGCTCGCACAGCACCGTCAGCAGCCCACTCCCTCAACGGTCGCAGGCAACCAGCTGCTGCGTGGGTGCTTTTCGCAGGCACTGAGGGCAGCATTGCATGACACGGCTGTCAGCTCCATGTTCTCTCGCAGGCTCAGAGCAAGCAGCGCCAGAGCCCACTGTCGGGCCGTCTCACAAGTAGCCACCAAGGAATTAACACCTAAATTGTCTAATCATGTTGCCGTCCATTCCAACCATCGCTTGCTAAAGGACGCCGAGATGCTGATGGCAGTTTTCTGGAGGCTGCGCAGGGACAGCTCACCGAAGATCCATAGGGATTGACGCCACTTCTCCACATCTTGCAAGGCTGCGTTGAAGCCGACCACATCAATCCCTGGCACAAGAAGCATCCAGCAGCCGCGCTGCCACTGGTTGGCTTTCTGGCATGCCGCAATAACAGCATTCCAATTGAAACTGTTGAACTTCTGCTCTCGGACCACTTGCAAGGCTACGTCCCAACGGTGCGGTGCATAGGCACTCACCCCCGAGTTGACACAGACGTCGTTCAGCCGGACGGCACTGCGGCACAGACTTTGCAGCAAGTCCACAACCGTCCGCCATGGCAACTGATCCGAGATAAGGGCACTCAACGCCATGGATGTACCCAAGTGCACTGAGTGCTCTAGACCGGAAGCACCAGACACATGAAGCCCGTGAAGCCTCGCGGCGAACGAGCCAGCAAAGAGCCCCAATGCCAATCGCCACGAATAGGCGCTGCAAGCATCGATGGCCGAGCGACAGCCAATCTCCCCAAGTTTGAAACCTTCTTCAACTCCTCGTTGTCGCAAGGAAAGGATGTGGGACCATCGACCAACCTGCACGCCATAGCAGGCATTTAGGTTGAGACCTGGGTCCTGCTAAAAATTAGGGTCTGAAACCCAACGATCCTCGCTTACATCCCTGCCTACCTTCTGGCATGCACTCATGGAAGCTCGGCGGGTAACATCATCTGGCTTGGCAGAGTGGCTGCCAAGCCATGATGTAAAGTCCAAGGCCGCTTGCCACTGCAAGCCTCTGTCACAAGATGTAATCGCTGCATTCAAGGTGATTAGGTTGGGCTCAGCAGATCTCCTTTGTATGTCCAAGCATGCAAATGCTGCAGCCCACTCTGCGGCCTTGCCACAGGCACTGACGAGCGTGCCGTAGGTGACTGCGTTGGGTCGCGTCACTGAAGCGAACATCTCTTCGAGGATTGCCAATGCAACGATCCAGCAGCTAGCCTGCTCAGACGCACGCATGGCTGTGCTGAATCCGACGACGTCGACGTCAACGTTTTCTTCCTTGCACAAGTCCAGGGCCGCCAGGGCCGCCTGCCACATCGAGTTCTTGGCGTACACACCCAGCATGGCATTAAAGCTGACGCTGTCAACATCGCCCTGGGCCGATGCAAGGGCTCCGGCCAGCTCGAGGAAAATTAATGCCAAGGGCCATTGCGCAGACAACGCTGAGATCGCAGCAGAACAGTGGATCACATTGACTTCCGTCTGCAAGAGCAGCATATCTTCAAAGACCTCCTGAACCTTTCTCCAGCGCCCCAAGCGCAACTTCGAAAGGACCGTCGTCGCATGTCTGCTTCTCGAAAAGTCAGTCATGGTGTCGACCGGGTCGGTGGTTTCGAGCTTAGACGCCCCTCATGACGCCTTCAACCAGTGAGGCGTCGGGATGGCACCCCAAGAGGTCCCGACCTATCACAGACACAGGCCACAGGCACAGTTCCGAGCGATGGTGTAATGAAGCTGGGCGATTCACAGCATAGCGTCAGATGGGGCATCCTCAAAGCCTCAGTTGGCCGGGCCGTACCCCACTTTTGCCCATGGCGACGGAAAGAACGTGCCAACTGCTCCCTGACGCTTCGCCATAAGCTGCAGCGCTGAGCACTTTTCAACCCTATGCTAGGTTTGCATCACCATCATCTCAACAACAGCATACCATGGGCTACCTTGTGCGAAGCTCGGATCACAGCCATAGCTGCATGACATGAAGCAGTCTGGACATGCGACATCCCAACATGGACAGTTCGTAGTAGCACTTTAGCACTTGCTCACCTTACTTTTTGCCAAGTCTTCCCCTGCCCCGGTCCATTTGTCGAATTTTGGCTTTAGTCTTGAAGTCTTCTGCCAGTTCTTCCATAGAGTAGCGCATTCGCAGCTTAACACGCAGCTGTGCCACAACGATGTCCGGATCGGAAACATCTTTCAGGGCAACGACGCCACCCGCAACAGGATTTCGAGTTGCTTGCATTCCATACTGGAGAAGCCCAGACATTGGTAATTCACCACGCCCAAGCACGAGTTGCTGGCTTGTGCCTGGCAACGACCCATGGATCTCAACCCCAAGCTTTGCCGTGGAAAGGTGCTCCAGAACATCATCAGTGACGTTGAAGGGACCGAAGGTTACCAAAGAATCGTAAACAGGCTGCAAGCCTGCAGCCACTGCTGAGAAGCCAACATCGAAGCCCAGGAACTCAACGCTAACAAGGGTTCGGAGCTCTTCCGCCGCAGGCATCCCCGATGGTGGTGGCGGTGCCCCAGTGGCGGCAGTTTGCAGGGTTTCCTGCAACCGCTGAGCCGCCGAGACGTCCATGGCACCGATGCCCACAAAGACATCCAGAGCATTGTCACAGTCCTCCAAGTCTGATACATCCGAGAAGCCCGACACACTCAGAGCATCATCCGGCCTTTGGCCGGGAAGGGCAATGTCCTCAAAGCCGGCAATACGACGCTGCAGATCCCGAATGCTTTGCAAGTGTGCTGCTGCAATCCTTGCCAACTTCTCCTGATCCCGAAGCAGGGTCTTCGACTTGCTCCGGGCCTCCTCAAGCTCTTGTGCCTGAAGGTTTTTGAGGTTCTGCGAGATGGCAGCCTCCCGCTCGAGCTCCTCGCGCAGCAAAGATATGTGCCTCCGGAGATCCTCCTGCTCTCGGCCCAATCTCTCCACAACGGACTCCATGGACTCCGCTGCGATCAGATCACTCTTCGAGGGCACCGCGTCAGGAAAACGCTCGAGCCTCGCAAAAGCGGCACCTCCCCCGACCATTTGCGACAGCGCTGCCTCCAGAGCCTCCTGATTGCCGGGCGGCAGCCGCTCACGCATCAGCTGCATCTCACGCTCCACCCTCTGCATCTCTGCAGTCTGTGACTCGATCTCGACCTGTAGCTGCTCATTCCGCTGCTTCAAATCCAAACACTTTGACTGAAGCCGCTGCTTTGCTTGGATGCCAGCAACACGTCCCTGCTCAAGAGCCACGTTCTCATCTACCAGTGTCTGATGCTCTGCCACTCTCACTCGAAGCATCTCTTCCAGTGCAGAGATGCGCATGTTGGCCTCCCGTCTGTCATCGACCTTGGAAAGGAAAGAGTTGGCCTCCAGCCGCCTCAGCTGCGCCTCCAGCTGCCGGGACCTCTCCTCTGCACGGATGACCTCCTCTTGCAGCTTCCCCGTGTCAGAAGTCTCGAAGTTAGCCTTGGCCTGCTGGATCTGAAGCTTGAGTGCCGCTCTCTGCGACTCATAGTCTTGAATCTGGGCTCGATATCCGAGCGTCTCCTGCTCTTGCCTGTCTGTTTCGGCCTGCAGTTGCTGCTGCAGACTAGCGACCAGCTCCTCCTTCTTTTGGAGCTGTTCATTCCGAACTTTTTCTTCCAAGTCCGACCTGCCGCCACGACTTCGTGCAGCCAAGACTTCATTGATCCGCTGCTGGAGGACCTCTCCCTCCGCACGCAGGGTGTCGGGGCTCACAGCTGAAATGCCCCGATGCAGGGCCGGTGCTCCCTGCGGAGGGGCCGCTGGAGCTGGTGCTGAAGACGGCCGAGGCGGTCCCAGCAGCCCCGGCGGTCGTGGTGCTCCCGGCGCTCCCGGCGGTCCCGGTGGTCCGGGCGGAGCAGGTCCCGGTGGCGGAGGCTGCATAGCTGGCTTGAGCCCTTCCTGTCAGTCGACTACTTCATACGTCCCGCCATCGTGCATGACGTCTTGCACAAGCAGGTTTTTGGCAACACGCGGCTGGAATCTCACAAGTCTTTGTCAAAATCTAAGTCTAAGTCCTATGCAGAATAAGGCTCTCGGTCAGTTCTTAAAGCCACCTTGCTCCGTCTTCAACGGGGCGCCGGCGGCAGCTGCCTGGAGAATTGTTGTTGTTGCTGATTATTGGTGATCCTCGTGCTCGCAGCAAAACACGACAAGCAACACTGCTTTGCATGCCTGCCTGGCAATCTCATCAATCCTCAGGCTTAGCCTCTCCACCAATCGGTGCACTTGGGCTAGATCGAAGCTGCGCGCCATTCCCTTGATTCGCATTGTGCCAGCTTCAAACTCCTCCAAGGAAATCTCTCCTTCGCCTGGCCAGGAAAACTTCTCGCTGACAGAATGGCCCAGCGCTTGAGTCGGCCTGTGTCCAGCATCTGGAAGAGGCCCCACAAATCCGTGGTCTCAATTTCCAACTGGCTCAACCACAGCCTCGGGATGGAAAACTCTTGCCGGGGAAGTTTTCTCAGGAGCGATTCTCTCAACAACATCAGCGCCGAGGCAAGGACTGGAGCTTCGGAGCTTTCAGAAGCCTCTTGAACTCTTTCACGTCGATCTTGCCGTCGCCAGATATGTCGGCCTGCCTAAACAATGCCGAGACTTTGCGCTGGAAGGCCAGCTCAGCCTTCCTCTTTTCCCTGGCCATGACCTCTTCGTCTGCTGCAGCAACCTCGGATGACTCGGATTTGTGTAACCAACCTTCCGATCCTCTCAGGCTGAATGGCATCTGCGCTTGCTTGGCTGCTGATCTGCTGGCCTTCATGGTGCTTTGGACAAAGACTGCATTCACGACGTTGAGCCTCATACTCGGGGGAGCCAGAATCACATTCGCAAGTCTATCCGAATGCATCTGACTGCCCAGCCGAGGAACACAGCAAATCCAACAAAGCAACGGTAGATGATGAACACCAAGGCATACCACTCGCTCACGTGATCGATCAGGATCCGACACGGTGGTGCCCAGTTTGCAAAAAGTACCTATCATGCGCCGTCGACGTTGTAGCACCATCATGCGCGTGAAATGTTCGCGGATTTTCTCGCCATGCCCTGACTCTGTACCGATCATGCGCGGATGTTCTCGTCAGACCCGTCATACCCTTACTCTGGAGTGTGACGAAGGGAAACGTCCCAATCATATCCTTGTACCTATCATGCGCTGATAAGGTCAACGGCTCCACGCTGATTCTGGAGCGTAGCCGACAGGAAAAGACGACGGGGTCAAAGGCTCCACCGTGACTCTGGAGAGGAGATCTACGAGTTCAGACTCACGTCTAGTTTTGCCCCGAGGCCACGCACGAAAACAACCTCTTCGTCAAAGCGAGAGGAGCGACCACAAACGTCGAGGTTCTAGACTCTGGATTCTACTAGAAAGAGACCCACCCCGGAGAGGTGTTGCTCTTCTCACAGCCAGTCGAAACGAATCATTCTCACGAGCCACCCCACAAAAAAGCATGCGAACAAATCGACAGAAGAAGAACCACCCCCCTAAACCCTACACCCTAAACCCTAAATCCCAATAGGACCCCAGGCCGCGGCGCACCTCGAACATCGTCAGAAGGGTTGCCGAGAAGCTTCCGTAGTAGCGAAAAACAGCAAATCTCGCTTCCATCGGAGCATTCTGGTCGACCATGAACTCACTCACCTGACATGCAGTTCGCGTGACACTGGGAGCAACGTGTGTTGTCCAACCCATGGACACACGGCCAAGCCCGCGGCCATGTAGCTGATCGTCATTCCTGCACTAATCTGAATGATCATCAACAGGAACCTTCGCGACAGCTGATCTCAAGGCTGTATGATCCTTCCACCTACTCCGGAACTGTGCACAAAAACCGTCACACTAAGCCGTAGGCAAAGACCAGAACAGGATACGAACCTGAGCAAGGCAAAGCCTTTCTGGCTGGCACTGGTGAATTCACATCCAGCTTTCTGCTAAAGCTGCCCACACAAAGTAGTCTTGCAATGAACCAGTCAAAAAGCACATGTGCTCGCATGAATAAAATAAGTACTTCGGTTACGGTTTGCTTGCGTGCGAGTCGCGCTTGCAGATATGCACTTCCTTAGCATGTGGCAGCTTGGATGCTTTCGGCCGTCAACGCTGGTCGCTAGCAGTACTAGCATGATAGCAGGGTCCCTGCGCCTCCACAGAAGCAGCAGGCCACGACTACCAAGGCGACCAAGGTGCAGCAGCAGCTGCAATGATTCCAGCACTGCAGACATTCTCACCACTCGAATGGCTCGGAGCAACCTCGGAATTGCACAAGGATGCACAAGGTCTCGGCAATTTCTCCATTTCAACACCAAACGACGCCTTGAAGAGACTTTCTAGACGAGCTTCTTCCCAAGCCGCAACAGTCGAAGAAATGTAGGACTTATCGGAAGAAGCGCAGCTGCAAACAACTCCAGCCACGAGCTGCACACGACAAGGAAGTCAACCCAGTTAAGCGCGTACTTCCAGAAGGTCATTCGCAAGTAATACATGCGAGTCAGCATTTCGATCCTGGGTCAGACGTCGACCACGAACTCTCACACTGCACAAATCCAGCACTCGAGGGCTACGAATTATGAAGAATCGTTAGCCGTGCTTCGTAAACACAGATGCAAAACTCACGTCACCAACGAGGAAGATTTGGTCGGAATTCGGCCATGCCTGACATAACGTGATGTCGCCAAGGCTTTACTCTGCACAAAGAGCCTTTGAAGAATATGCGGCAAGTTGTTCCCGCCTCTTCCGCCGCGACATCGTATCGGGGGTATCCAATGCTGTGGCCAATTCTCAGGCCAAGGTATTGTAGCTGAGCAGCCATGAAACACACATTCACAAAAAGCAGCGCGGCAATCAACATCTCAAAAGTGCCTTGGTCAGGGAATAATTGCGGTCCGACAAAAAAGGACGGGACCAGGGGCAAAGCTCTCAAGCTTCGGCCGAGCAGCTGCTCAAGAAAAATGCCCGAACACGATCGATGCCAGTGTCAAAATGCGGATCACTGCTGGTATCAGATTCACTCTCCAGCTGCAACCCCGACAAATCAACCGACTGCGTCGACTGCATGGAACGCAGCGATGCAGATGCCTGGGCACCTGCCGGCGGAAACAGCTGTGCACCGGCTGTGCATTCACGTGTTTACTGTCATCTGACTTGTCCATCGACTCCTCTTAGTAGCCCTGCCTTGGCTTTCAACGCCCACAACGGCGCCCAGGCCGCTAGAGACAGTCGCCCGCAGCTCTTCATCGCGGATTCGGGAGTCACAGCGGCCAATGGCCTCCCGGAAGTGACAGATTGCACGTGATGCATCCGCCGCCCTCCTCTCGCCTGAACCGGTGGAGAGATCCTGAGCTTGCAAAGTGATCTGACGGCGACAACAACGAAATCGCTCTGACCACTTCTCCAACCAGTTTATGGACAGAGCTTCGAAGACGGAGCGGGAATTCGTGGCGGTTGTGTTTGGCCGGCTTCTAGTCGGAGCCGTGCCACCTGCAGTGAACCAAAACATGAGCCAAAAGGATCAAACGGCACGGGCAAGTAATTTCACAGACAATGACCGGACACCACGAGGAAGGGTGAAGGCTAGAACCTGCGAGAGGGGTGAGAGAGAAAATGAAAGACTGAAAGACTGAAAGCAAAAAGGAAAGAAAGAACGGAAGAGAGAGAGAGAGAGAGAGAGAGAGAGAGAGACAGAGCAAGAATCAAACACAACGAAAGAGAGAGGGAGAGGGGAAGAGGTCGGATCGGACAGCAGAGCGGCACAGAACAGAGAGGAGAAGAGAATATAGAGGGAGACAAACGCAAGGCGAGGATGAAGAGACTGGAGGAAAGGAGGAGGTAGAGAGAGAGGACCCATGCAAAGGAGTCAGAGCCTCTTCGAGGTGCACGGCTGCCAGCTCTTCCAGGAGTGCCGCAAAACGTGGAGACAAGCCACCCGGCGTCAAGGCTGTGTCATCCATCCTCACGCAAGCACGAAACTGCGGCGTCCAGGGGCAGAGAACTTTGGCGGTCCCTGCCACTCCTGCCATGCGCTGGTATGCTCGCGAAGCCCAGCAGCTGTACTCTCGAGCAAAACGCTGCGGTGGCACACAATGGCCACAACAACTTGCTAGGGCATCAAGGCGTTTCGCGGGGTCTGATGGACAGGTTGCAGACTCTCGCAGGTTCCTCTTTTCGCTCTCAGCCGACATCTTGGCCCTCACAAAGAGACCATTGCCGATGAAGGAATTCTTTCCTTTGCAAGAGTGGCTGCACATGGCTGCAACCGTACCCACATGATTTCACTCATCTCACGTCACGTCTTGCTTGCCAAGTGACAGCTCCTGCCCTGCCTTATCTGGTGCTGCGGCTACACCGTCTAACCGTCGAACCCTTTGCACCTCGAACGACCCTGATGGGTGTCTAAATGCCCTGGCAGCATGTAGTGAGCCAAGAAGCCCCTCTCCAGGGTCCGGTGGACTTGTTGGCTCGCTGTGGCAGGTCCACATGCCGCAAAGCGGCATCTGCTTCAGGAGTAGGCTCGCCTGCAAGGCACCCTTTTGCAAATAATGCTAAGTCAGAGCTAAATCTTCGCATCAAAACTTTTTCGCAAGCCATGCCCTTAAGCTCGGACCTCCTTCATGAACTGGTGCAGGGTGGCTCTCAGGTTGCAATCTCTGTGTGTAGCAGCTTGGATCTTTTTTACCCGCCTGCCCTGTTGGCGCAGCAACAGGAACAGAGTGGGCATGGTCCCGCATGTCCCGTGGATGAGGTTCCGGTCCCGACAAACCAGGAAGGCTCGAGGAAATCTTCTCGAGCTGGACACGGAGAGCCCTTGAAAATGCGATCTGTCGAGCTTTGCCTGAGCAAGCCAGAAGCTCCTGCCACTGGTCATCCAAGCCATCCGGCATTTCTGGAACTGACCCACTTGCGGTAAGGCCCTCCACCACCTGCTGAGATATTGCTGCAATGTCTGAGGGCAGGTACTGCAGGTCATTGCTGTAAGCATCGATGGCCTGCTGAAGAGCGAGGTTGTCCTAAGGTGAGCCACGGGATTGAGGGCCTTCCATGCGATTGTGCATGCGTGCAACAGTTATGTGCGTTCGAGCATGCCTGCAAGAGATGCTCCAGCTCTTCACGATTGATGGCTCCAGACAGCAGCGGAGCACGCCGTAGCAGAACGAAGGTCGCTGACGAGGTGATGTCGAAGCTTGCCAGAGTATCACCATCCTCGACCTGCTTATCGTTCAGGAGCAAGATCTGGTTGCCCACCGGCGTCCCTGAGCAGCTTGACTCCGAAAAGTCTAAGCCTCTAAGCTAAGCCCCGTCTGGCTCGGTCGTACCCCCCCGGGCTCGGCTATTGCTCGGGCGGAGAGCAGGAAAGAGAAAGGACGCCAGCAAGGCAATCAACTAAAGATACTTCATGCATGCGTACTCCAACATACAGACAGCAGCACAGACAAGTAAGTTTCCCCCTTCGGAGATCAGGAAGACAAACGTGCTCCTGCACTGCTTCGCGTGAGCGATTCTCGGTTGGATCGCAAAGTCAATGAAGTGCCCCCATGACTCTATCTCTCTTGCTTGCTTGCTTGCTTGTTTGGGGTATGGGTTCGCGTGGGAACCCCGGCCCGAGGGCCAACCCCCAAGGTGCGCGTCTGAGTCTTTCGGGGTATCTCTTGCTTGCTTGCTAGGGGTCTGGGGTCAGGGACCCCCGGCTCGAAGGCCAACCCCACAACGGCTCGCGTCTGGGTATCTCTCTCTCTCTCCTCCTCTCCCGCTTTCTGCCACCCCCACGCTCCAGGTCCGCCCATATGTTCTGGGGACGTGTCTCAGAAGCTAACACGGCAGACTCGCCAAGCCCACTATAGTCGGCTGACAAGGCAAACAGCCAGCTAGCTGGCTAGCTAGCTCGCTCGCTTGCTTGCGCTGGGTTACAGCCTGGTCTCCAAAACCCTCGCATCCGTGCTCAACAAAGAAATGCGAGGAGTGGACATTCGGCAGGTCAGAAGGTACTCTACTGTGCACGCGGCACGGGAAGCATGGCGTGAGGACTGCGGCGATGAATCCCCCGATCCTGAACATTAGCTCGCATCCCGAACTCATCCCAGACGCCCCTAAGGCAACATCCTCTCTCTCTGTTTGCTTGCTTTCTTGCTTGCAGGGGGTCTACCCGCCTGAAATCCCTGGGTCCGCGGGCCTACCCGCCTACCCCCACGGCACGCTTCCGTTCGGCGCTCCGGCCCCGAATCGGGAATTCACTGCAAACCTTGCCGTGCGGATAAGTGTGGCACGGCCAAGCAGAGGTCAACCCTTCAAGAGTGCCAACTGCCTGCCAACTAACTGACTAAGAAATACAGGGTCAAAATCTCTCAAGATCGAAGCGGCTGGCTGTCTGGTTTCAGGTTTTCAAAGCCTCGCAATATTCGAACACAACAAGCCAAAAAAAACAAGACAATGAGGGGCTGGATTGTCTAGCGGCGCAAGTTCAAGGGGGTGTCAAGACATCGGCCGTAGCTGCTAACTACTACCCGCCAGTTCACTATCGTCCATCGCAACATTTCATGGGTCTTCTAACGAGTAATCTGCCACATCAACAGCAGTTTTGCATCAGAAAGTGCAAGGCCTTCAAGACCTGCGATTTGGGTCTTCAACTGCAAAACCGGCTTCTGCGGGTTCACCGACAGCTCCGCAACCACTTCTCCAGAAGGAAGCGCGATGCTTACAGCAACTGCCTCCATTGCTCCCAGCGTGGTAGTTATTGAGTCCTGCTTCCTCAAAGAACTGCCGAGCCGCTAAAACGCTATGGAGTTGCGGATGTGTCTTTCACTTGAAGCAGCTACGCTGGCGACTGTGTTGTCTACAATAGGACATGGCTATCTCCGACCACAAGACTTGGGATCCAAGGAAGAGATGGTACGCGGTGCATCGCGATGTGAAGCAGGCAAACCTCCCATCGCAATGACAAACCCACACAACTTCGCCTCAATTGCTTTGCTGCGTGCATCTTTGGGTGAGACTGTGGTGAGACCGATGCAACGGCACTTGCAATGCTTATGTACACTGTGGGTCCTGGCCCTAGACTGTTGGACACGTGTCCTTTCGAACACCGGCGTCGTCCTCATGCGTGCAACTTCCGACCAAGCTGGCTGCCCAGGGACCGCTGAAGAATCAGAGATCTTGTCTTGTCGCGAAGGGTGCCGAGTCCCACCACGGCTTCATCGAATGCCTGTCACACGGACCTGACAGAGAATATGGAGGCACTTGGCACACTTCGGCATGGCCCTCAGCTCTGCCAGCCTGCGAACCCTTGAGGTCCAATGCCTTGGCCACCTTCTGCTCTGCCAGGTGTCCGAACTTCACCTCGGATCTTTTATGCGAGTCCCGAATCCCTTCACACGAGGTGACACTCCGAGACTGTTTTCGGGCCTTGTCCTCGATGGTGTCTGCCCTTCGCGGCTGAGGATCCCACTGGTGGTGAAAGGACGCTTTGCAAGGCTATGGAGGCCTGAGTCCAGCCATTCGCAGCTTCAGTGGGACGAGCTTCTCCTTCTCTCGTAATGCCTTCTCCTGGCCAACATGCTCTGCCACCCTGCGCATGCTGCCAACTATCCAGTATCAATTTCTCCTGCTCGCGTCGGATCTTCTCATCCAATTCCTGCTTACGTTTCGCCTGCTGTCACGGCATACAATGCCACTATCCACGACAACATTCAGAAACGGCCCTGGTGCCGTAAGCTTATCCCGGCCTCGCGAGCCTCTTCTCGCTTACGAGCTTCGTGCGCCCGTTTCAGGGACTCGTCTGCTTCCCGGTCAGCCTGGAACTTGCTCAGATTGAATTGGACTCGTGCAAGACGAGGGGTCACCCACGGCCCATGATCCAAGCAGCAGCGATCTCAGCATATGCAGCTTGCGCCAGGTTCCGGTATCTCGTAGCCTCGCATGACTGCCAATGGTCATCCAACATTCGACCGTCGAAGCCAATGCCCTGCCTCCGTTTTCAGGGCGGCCTCAATCCGCTCCGATAACTCCTGGCATCTTTGCACTCGTTCAACAAAGTCGCCTTCGTTCCTGAACTATGGTCCTTCGAGTGCCGCTGTGTCTGCATACCCTTCAGGCCCACCGCGCTGATCTGCTCTGACCAACGCATGAGGAAGTCGACGCTAAGATCCTCGCATAGTCCACAACAAGCAGCCACAACGCTTCAGTGGATGAAGTAGATGCTACATGCGAGGCAGCACCTCTTCCGCCAGTTTGTCGAGTTTGGCCTGGATCATCCAGACATGTACCAGCAGCAAGTGCCACGTGCTTGGGACTTGGAGTGGCCAACGAAGGAAACATGCTGTTCGCGGATGCAACGAGCACGCATTTGGGCAGGCAGGCAGACGGTCCTAACAGTTGCAGACTGCTAGCACAGAGGGCCGACGAGTGCAAGAATCGCGGTATCTGGGGCATCTGATCATGGTGTAAGATCATTGTCATGCCTTTCTGTGCCACTTCCTGTCGCAGGAACACATGGTATGAGTTCGACAAGTCACAAGCAGCTACGAGAACAAGCAGCCTGCTGCCTAAGGATACACGCTTATGCAGCCTCTACTAATTACGTACTAAGTCTACAAAACATATCTTCATATTCCTGCATCCTCAGCCGGCTTCCTCTCTCCTATGCTACGTGAGCACGTGCCTCTGCATCCTGGAGACGCGACGCCACGGCTCGCCGCACGCCCTGCAGAGGAGCACACATAAGCAACATGATGCAAATTCATGTCCCTCACGATGGCTTCCCGGCGCCGTCACAGACCACGAATTGTATGATTTTGCTAAGGACAAGAAAGCCCTGCAATGCAACAACAATAACAACGACAACGAACCACAACAACAAAGCCCAACATCAAGCACCGGCAAAAGCAGTGGCAGCCATACCGTGAAAATTTCGCGCAGGTTGTGGCGGAGGATCAAAACTGCTTAATTAAAGAAACATGTTGAATCCCTGCACGCTTCCGAGAGTGACCCGCTTTTCCATCCGGCTCACTCAAAGGTTGGATCACGAAGCTCTTTCAGCTTAGTCGCTGCAAAAATCAGCCTTCTCCCGGGTGGGCGGGAGGGCAGCAAAAGGCTGCGATGCAGGTTTAAACATGTTGAATCCCTGCACGCTTCCGAGAGTGACCCGCTTTTCCATCCGGCTCACTCAAGGGTTGGATCACGAAGTTCTTTCAGCTTAGTCGCTGCAAAAAGCAGCCTTCTCCAACCAGCGAAACCGGCCAACAGCGAAAATACAGCCGACAAGGCGTAGCAGCTAGTGCGCTGGAGAATAGCGGAGCAGAAGAGGTATCAGCGTCGTAGACGCAGAAATGTTCTTTCTGGCCTGAGCAGAGAGCTTCGGGAGCCCCGGCTCGGCCGACACCTCCTGGAGATAGTAGGCGAGGGTAGCCTGGTTCTGAAGACGCTAGTCCACTGAATATCCGCAACGGGTTTCTTCTTCCGGTAGGCAGCAACTGCCCCACCGCCACGTAAGCTCCCCGGTGTCAACTTGTAGCGGGGCGGAACCTCGAGAGCAGAAAGCAGGCTATCCCAACGCCGCCTGAAGACGCCTGGACTCCCAGGAAAAAGAGGCGTCGAGGGGCGCAACGGGCCCCAAACCTTGTCCACGAAGGAGGCGAAGAGGGGCTCGAGGTCGATCGCCACATGCTGGACCCGAGCTCCACGTCCACGGGTCTTCGGCTCTTTAAACAGGACGTAGTAGCGGCAGTCATGCTGCATGAGATCCTTACGGGTGAGAAGCTCGGAGCGTCTCGCCCTAAGAACCTCCCCGATCCCGCAGCAGCCCAGGAAGCACATCATAGCTGTACAGGCCCAGCTGCACCAGCCCCAGGTTATAATGGAGATTCTGCTTGCAATCACAATCGGCAGAATGCGTCACCACAGCTTGCGGCTGCTGGAAGAAATGTCTTTTGATATCACGAGCACGCCCCTTCGACCCAGAAAAAATTGAATTGATTGAATCAAAGAATAACGAAAAGGAAAGGATTTGAAAGGAAAGAAACGTGGATTGCACACTTCGCTTCACTGCCGGTCTCACCTCGGACAGTTTTCCACTACAGCCTCACTTCTCAGCAAATCCCTCTTCAGGCGGTCTCCTCACCAGAATCTCCCAATGACTTCAGTGTTTCGCCCACGAACTGCGACACTTACTACGTCAAAGGCTAGTGAGGATTTGGGCTACGGGAACGTGCTTGAAGCAAGTGGCCATACACCGGCACAAGCTCTTGACAGGAGCACAGAATTGGCAATCCAACTCAAAGTAATTACGAGAATGCAACAGATGTACTTACAGCGCACTGTACACGAGGTGCAATGCAGGGGTTTACTTCGACAGGCCCCCGATGCTTCTCACCCCGGCGCTTGCTAGCACCACGGATTGATTGATGAAAGGAGCTCGGCAAGGCTGCACTCAAGCAGAGCATGTGAAGATCATCATCGGCATACAATCTCCACTCAAGTTCTGCTGTCACATTGCGCCACATGCGATGTAGACCAAAGACACACTACCTTGCAGCACCATACGCCACCCGCAGCAGCGTTCTTGCCCAAGATGTGCACTTGACCAGTTGCCCCAGGACTATCGGCGCGGCGATGAACGGACTTCCCGCCCCCAGGACGAACCATGTGGATTGGACCAGCTGCGTGAGATGTGATATGGGCAACTGGGCTGACTCCACCATGCCCCTAGCACGATCCCACAACTGTCGTGAGAACGGCCGCCGCAGCCGCAGCAAAGCCAACTCCGCACAAACAGGATCTGGCGTCCATGCAACGAGCGCTCCCAACGCGAAGCCGATGCCCAAAGCAATCAACCATCTAAGGCAGAGGGCCATCAGTGCGCACATAATCGATACCGCTGAACAGCCATTGCTTTTGAGAATCGTTGCAGCCCGGTCCAAGCGTGCAATAGCATCCAAACCATCTCAGTTTTGGACAGCTGTGAGGACACCAACAGCGAGGTCCGTGGTGTCTTGCGGGATCTCATCGTCCAGCACATTGGCACCCATCTTGGTCCATGACTTTTTGTTGAAGTCGCGCCGAACGACCAACTGCTCAGCAAGGCTCTTGACCGTAAAGCATCCTTGGGCAGATTCCTCCTGATCCCTAGCTCCTTCAAAATTTCATGTAGGTCCTCTGCTTTGACAACCCGACCTTTTTTCAGAACTGGCGCAACGGAAGCGTCGTCATCATCTCCGTTGTGAGAGCGTGAGCGCTTGGGAAGCCTGCTAAGAGTGGCCGCTGCCCAAGGATCAATCTGGCCAAACTTATCGGCAACCTCCTTCAACACCTCACTCTTTGCCTCTTGCTGGCACGCTGGAACATCTCCTGCGTCTTAGCCTCCTCCTTGAGGGATTTGTCCTTCTCCATCCGTTCTTTTTCACCACGTTCAAGGCGAGCAAGGCTTTCTTCACAACGTTCAACGCGCTTCCAAAGAGGTTCGCGCTGAGGAGGAGCACTCCGACGTCCCCAGAGCCATCCGAACATGATTGACGTTTCAAGGATTCTATCCGCGGGGTGCTAGCTTGAACTCACAATGACATCAAATCGGTGAAAAATGCCGTAACGGCTGAACATAAAGGACCCATAGTCAAAGTTCCTACCCTCCACGGGCACGAACAAGATCACATCTGTAAAGCTTGACGCACAAACGAGTACCGTCGACAGGAGCTGGCCAACCTTCGGATACGTTTCTTGGGGTAGCCAACAAGCTCCATTTCATAGAAGGTTTTTTGCATATCATGGGCTTGGGAACAACCTCCTATGTGGGCAATACGATGAACGCGAGAAAGCAGCCACCATCTTGCTCTCTCCTTGGTCGCTCCATCCCACTGACGAAAGATGGGTAACGACGCATGCGCTAGAGCACCTTGCCCGGTCAGTGCTTCTCGATTTTTGCTTTGCAAACGAATGCAGACCCCACTACCGACAGTGACTTGCATGTCTAACCAATTGTGTGTAATGGAAATCAAGCGTCCACTCGCATCCTCATTTGTTCGTGTAGTGGGCACACGCTCCACAACTAATGGGTGCACATAAATGTAATGAGCCATATCTTCAAGGCATTCTTGGCAGTATCTGGAGCTGGCAAGGATTGCATCGTCAACGTACCTGCACCCCGTTGTGTAAGCATCAAAGTCTTCAGGCGATCCCCCGAAACCATGTGCATCACGCATGCTCTCATTTTCACGCCATGTCGCTTCACATCCGCCCAGTACCACCGCTGCGCAAATAGCGGAAGCGCCACCACCCAGTGGAACCCCACGTACTTGCTGAATGCACGCCGATCCCAAGCGGAAGATATTGCACCGCAAGTAATACTGCAAGAAACGACGGACATCAGCAAAATCCAAGAACGTTCCACGAGAGCTCCAGCTAGAGCCACCCACAAAAGCCTGATAGCGAGGGTTCTTGAGCACGGTGACGCCCTTTGAAACATGTCTAGATTGGCATGCTCTGCTGAATTACCACACCTGCGGCATTTTCCACAACCAGGCCTCAAACATCCTATACGTTGCCTCACCTGCGCGGGGGCATCCTTTAGAGTCCAAACCACCCAGGCATCCCTGCCACTGCATTTGAGAATGCATTGCACCGCGCGGCTCAGCACTCGAAGAGAGCGTCGTAACGGGTTTTGGCAGTTCGAAATAATTTCCCTCACGTGCGCATGCTTTTTTGCACAACAGCAGCCAGCTTGATTGAAGCATTTCCTTTTATATAATGTTAATGTACGCATATGGCAAGACTTCAGGTTTCCACACAGACCACCGCCTTCGCGCCCAGCTTGGACATGCAACCAAATGCTGAAAATACTGTTGCTCAAGGATTCGCTCCATCGGGATGCTGCAAACCTTGTAATGCAGGGGGTCACGGAGGAATGTTTCACATAATAAATTGTCGTACACATACCTTAGCATGCCAACAATAGCCGCAGGGCATTTATCTTGCTGGACAATCACCTCCACACTCCGCAATCTCCTTATGATCGAGCGTGTAGCTTTACCAACGTTTCGCCGGCGTGGCCTCGCCTGTACACGTAACCATCGATACATGCGGGTCACCATCGAGGGCTGGTCATCACCAATCAGTCCCAAGAGAAACAAAACCCAACAAATGTAGCCCCAAATCCAACCTTGGTTGCTTTGCGTGGTGTTTGGCTGATGGGTGTTGGGATGCAGACCATGAGCATGAATTGCACACGCTTCAACAGCCACTTCAGCTTCGATGTTCGACGCCGAAACCCAGGATGAGAGCTTTGCCGCCCACTGCTGTAAGAGATGTGCAGACGACTGAGGGGCGTGCATCTTCAGATTTTCATCCACAAACAACAGCTGTTGGGAACCACCCTGTGAATCCCCACGCCCATCGAAACTTCGTGCAACTTGGCGGTGATTGCAAAACCGTTGAACCAAGGCCTGTGGCTTGCCCCTTACAAGGCGCAAATTCCTGCTCCAAAACTTTGCTAGTGCAGCATGGAAGCCTGACGCAATACTGACACGATGCAACCACTCACGCATGACTTTCTGCACACGGCTCGCCTCTGCCGGAGTGGCGTCAGAGATGCTTAACCACACAGGTCGTAAAGGATACAAACCAATGTTACTCAACACAGCCGCTAAACGTCTGCATGCGAAACTACGTCGGGTTTCGTTTTGAAACCGATCTGCGTACGTCCTCATCGTAACCAGCTCTGTAGGGGTGAATGCCCGCCAGGGTATTTCCGTACCACGAGTGGCCAGTTTACACACCCACAAATGCAACGTGCCTATACCAATTTCAGGGCTGTGTGGAATCCCGAGCTTGACCATGGAAGACCAAGGCAATCTGGTCCATAGGAGGGATGAATCATCTTCAGCCAACGCAGTATCCACCACTTCTTCTCTCCAACTGCGCAACATTATGTTCGAGACGTTCAACAAGCAACACTGCAATTTTGTTAGCGGGGTTCTTTGCCAGCTACACAACTTGGGCTCCTTCCAACTGTCTGAGGGCGAGGGTCTCCTACGCAATTGGCCTTGACGCCATCCTTGCACGGGCAATGTGAACGACTTGATGATAAACTGCTCTCTCATCCACGCCGACATTTTCGTGCCACTGAAAACCGGCAACATATGGTTGGCATACATAGGGGCTCTGTCGCCACATGCTTTGTATCTCTTCTCAATACCATGTACAGGCCTAACTTCGCGAACTTTGTGATCGAACCATCGTTGGAAGAGACCACAACGATGTTGTGCTTTTTGTCGAACTGAGCCACAATACCCGACATAATATGACCTATGTTTTGCGGACACCCCTGCAAGATAAACGAAACCAAACTCCTCATTCTCATCAAACTCAACCCTGTTGGAATGTTGTAACACTTGGCGTAACCACTCAGTGCCAGCTTCGCCCCAATGATCACCACCCAACAAGAACGCTTCTTGTAGACGCGGCTCCCAAAATCTGCTGACCAGACCAAGGTGCCTGTGGGATTCTTTTGCAGACAGAGGTAAACCGCCTCGGTGAGTTAACGATGCAAGCGCGACAGCAAAATCCAAGAAAGCGATAACAGCGATGATTTGCCGATGACAGCGACCTCAACGATGAGAGTCTGGAAAAAGCCAACTCAACAAAGCGTCAATATCCATTCCAGATCCACCAAACTCTGTTTCCAAATCACTGGGATGGCGTACATGCATGCATCTGCAAGGCTGTCTAACGTGTCATGGCAAGCAGGCCCGGTATCCAATAGCAAGATGTGCAACACAGAAAGCAGCTGTTTCGGTGTCCAGTCCTGCACACTCGTCAGTTTCTGTTTCTCAGGGTGCTTTTCGAGTTCAAAATATGCCGAAACAACTCTGATGCGGTCCTTCAAGGCAGATCGCTCCATGAATACGCTGAGAGATGAAATACACACGCACTGAAGCGCTGTCAATGTCGCGATAGCGACGAATGATTATGGATATAGTGGATAGTAACGAAGCTTACTACGCTAAGGCGCAGATCGTGAGCACCAGGATATAATGGAGATTCTGCTTGCAATCACAATCAGCAGAATGCGTCACCACAGCTTGCGGCTGCTGGAAGAAATGTCTTTTGATATCACGAGCACGCCCCTTCGACCCCAGAAAAAATTGAATTGATTGAATCAAAGAATAACGAAAAGGAAAGGATTTGAAAGGAAAGAAACGTGGATTGCACACTTCGCTTCACTGCCGGTCTCACCTCGGACTGTTTTCCACTACAGCCTCACTTCTCAGCAAATCCCTCTTCAGGCAGTCTCCTCACCAGAATTTCCCAATGACTTCAGTGTTTCGCCCACGAACTGCGACACTTACTATGTCAAAGGCTAGTGAGGATTTGGGCTACGGGAACGTGCTTGAAGCAAGTGGCCATACACCGGCACAAGCTCTTGAAGGAGCACAGAATTGGCAATCCAACTCAAAGCAATTACGAGAATGCAACAGATGTACTTACAGCGCACTGTACACGAGGTGCAATGCAGGGGTTTACTTCGATAGGCCCCCGATGCTTCTCCAGCCCAAGGAAACAGCGAGCCCAACCATGGCCCAAAGAATCGGCTCCGGCATAGGGGTCCGGTGGACTGTAGGCTCAACCTTCTCCCACTTGCTCAGCAGATTCCACGCTGGCTTAAAACAAGCTCGAGCTCTTGGCCCCACGTGCTGGCAGTCAGCAAGCAACTGTCTGAACTCCTGAAGTGACCGCCCCGAGTCATAGAGGTGCTGCCCATACAGCAGCATGATCTCGACGAGGAGGTCAGGCTGCCGTTCAAGAGTTGCCCAGAAGTCACCGCCACCCTCTCCCGGAAATCAGACCAAATCCCAGCCCTCAGCTGGACCGTCCCTTGGGTGACGGTAGCAACCTCCCGCAGCTGAAGTTCTGGCCTATTTGGGTGAGCGGCCTCGCCAACCCTTCCTTTAG